TTCGTGGCAGGTACTGGGCTGACAAGGTGAGCCAGGAGTCAGTGCAGGGCAGGTTCCGGTAGGCTGTGCCTGTGGTGCTTGGGATTATAATGTTTTTAGCACATGGTGCATATAGGCAGGGGGATGTTGTGATGTGTGGAGCTGGGTTGGGCATGGGAACGGAGAGAGGAGAGAGAAACAGGAGCCAAAAAGAAAAAAAAAAGTGCTGAGGGAGCCTGCTGTTAGAGTGGAGAGATGAGAAACAGAAATGAAGAAAAACAAAAAGGAGAAAAATGATAAAAATGAAAAAAAAATCCTGAGATCCCACCTTTACAGCTTTGTAGATCAGGGAAGCAGGTCTCAAGCCATGCAGTACTGCCTGGCTAGAAAGGGTGGAGATGACATACAGTGCCAGGTATTCAGGGGACAGGAAAAGAAGGTAAGTAGGAAGAGAGGAGAACCTGAGAAATTAAGAAAAATGAAAAGGAAAAAAGAAAGAGAAAACAAACAGAAAAGAGAAAGAAGAATTAAAAAAGACCTCAGGGATCTCACAAGCATGGCAGCACAGACTGGGGAAGCAGTTCCCCAGCCGAGCGCCACTTCACAGCCTGTCAAGAAGAATCAAAGATAGCACACGGAGTCAAGTGTTCAAGATAAAGGAGGAGGAGGAGGTGAAAGACTGGGAGGAAACCAAAAGAGACCAAAGAAAAACAACACCAGCAACAAAGAAATGGCAGTGAAGACTCCTACCAGTGTGGGCAGGGCGAATCATCGTAGCAGGAAACCGGCGCCTCCCATGCTGTGGTTGTGGCCTGCTGTGAAGCAGCGGATTGGCCCACCGTGAAATAGCAAATCAGCCTACTGGGAAGCCGTTTATTGACCCACCAGGAAGCAATGAATTGGTCCACCGGGAAGCTGGAATCGGCCTGCTGAGAAGCCGTGGATCGGCCTGCCGGGAAACTGCAGATCGGTCCGCTGGGAAGCGGCGAAGGCCGATCAGGGGGAGGAGGTGTAGGGGGTGGGAAGGCATGTCTCACTGGTTACTACATGCTCTATCTCCTGCTGGGAGCTCCATGAATCTGCTTTCGTACTCTCTGTCCACCGAACTCCAACAGGAGTCCAAGATGGTGGATCTGTGCTGCGTTAGCTGGTAGGGGACCTCTGCTTGTAACTCTCCTAACTCTCTGTTCTCTGTCAGTTTCTTATTCTGTTTGGTGCTTGGTTGAGTTCTTGATCTCTTCATTTGATGCTTAGGGTTGCAGGATTGACGTTTTTCTCTGATTTACTCAGTTTTTTTGGTCTTTGCTGTGGAGGGACAGTGTGGTGCTTCCATCTGTAGCGCCATGTTGGCTCCGCCTCTCTGAATCTTTTTATTTTTATTGGATTAAATCTTTTATAGATTTTCCATTCTTTCTTGAACAAATTAAACTATATCTCATAAATCTGAAAAGTTATTATTGTGTTTTACATTATTACTTGTGTTGTGATTACTATTATTAATCATTGCATATCAAACGAAAACTAAGTGGTTTTTCCCTACGTTGATCAAATTCTCAAGGAGGGAGGATATTGTTTTCTGTGAAGCAATATTCTTTAATGCTTCCGCCTAGTATTGCAAGCACTCAAAGGCATTAGCTTACGTTTTAAGAATATTGAAAATACTGAGGAACTTATTATTTTCAGAAATACTAGTTTGTTATTGGAATGTCTGGGAGAGATATCAGACTATGTTCTTGGGAAAATTAAATCTCTAAGTACTGATTGGCTTAGTGTTGGAAATTAATTATGCTTTTTGCCTCATAATAGTTTATAGGTTTCTGTGAGAAAATAAATATTACTTTACCGGTAACTTTTTAAAACACATGATGAATTTTCATTTTTAAAATGGTAATACATTGATTCCGAGCATGTGTAGGTGTAGATTAATTACTACAACAGAAATACTTCTCGTTATGGTTCTTTTATATGTGCTTTAGTTCTATAATGTTCTTGGTTTTCTCAGAAAACTCTTCAAGAATTGCAACATTTAAAATATACTATTAGACTCAGTTAGAATGGCTATCCGTTGGGTGAGTGTATAGAATACAAAGACTGGCCTCTCTGATTATTATAATAATCTCAAAATCTTCTCCAGATTATTTGAGCGTAAAAAAGTCCAAAGTATGAATTGGCTAGTATTCATTTTAGCATGGTATGTATTTCTAAAACTTAATTAGTATGTTATTTTGAGATACTGAACACTAAGTAGGATACGTATTGAAAATATTGGATGTTATCCCTTCTTCTGCTTTTTTCTATACAGTTAAAATTTTGACCATATAAGTAGCTTGGAGGTACATTTATTAAGTCTGTTTTATTAAAAAAGGAGACTTCCTACTTATTTACTCATTTATTCTTTAAAATATTAATTGAGAACTTGGTAGGTTCTAGGCAGATATAAACAATTGACAGAGTCCTTTTCCTTGCAGAGCTTATGTCCTAGGCAGGGAGGTAAACAAGAAAAGGTGTACAAATAGGTAACTTCAGACATTTGTAAGCCCTACAAAGAAAATAAAACAGGTGGTAGCGTATAGGAAGAGGAGTCTCTTTTAAGCTAGCATAGTCAGGGAAGGCCTTTTTGAGAAGATGACACTTGAGCTGAGATCTGAATGAGTAGTAGCATCATGTGAAGATCTGAGGAGAAGACTATTGTAATCAGAGGGAACAATAAACAAGAAGGCAGAATTTAACTTGGCATGTTCAAGAGGCAGAAAGAAGGCCAGTATGACTGGGGTTTAGGGAATGAGGTAGAGAATTGTAGATGAGAACTTTGGAAGGAATTTTTATTTCATTTTAAATGCAATGGTAAGCCATTAGAGGGTTTAATTAGGGGTATTATGTGATCAGATTAATGCTCTAAAAAGTTTCCTCTGGTGACACTGTAGAAAAGCAAGGGTGGAAACAGGAATACCAGTGAGAAAACTATTAGGGTAGTTGAAGTTGACAGTGGCTTGGATTAGAGCAGTGGCTCTAAAGAGAGAAGTGGATGCGATAAAATGGAGGCATGGCTGATAGAATTTGTTGATGGGAGAGGAAGGGGCTGAGGGAAAAAAGTCACCCTGAATGATTCCTAGGAGTTTGGTCTGAAAAATTGGATCGATGATGGTATGATTAACTGAGATGGGCTAGATTGGAGAGGATTATGATTTTGATGGGGGCTGGGAGGTTGGCACAAAAGTTCTTTTGGGCATCTTAAATTTGACATAGGAGAGTTCAGGGCTAGAGAATTTGTGTGTGTGGTGTATGTGTGTACGTGTGTATGTGTGTGTATATACTAGTTGCTGTTGAGTTGATTCCGACTCATAGCAACCCTAGAGGACAGAGCAGAACTGCCCCCATAGGGTTTCCAAGGAGCTGCTGGTGGATTCGAACTGCTGACCGCTTGGTTAGCAGCCGAGCTCTTATAGAGATAAAGAAAATCTATAAATATAGGTCTAATATTACTTCATCCAATATATGACAGCATGCCTATACTTAAATTTATTTAGAATCTTATGTTTTTGAAACTATAACTGCCTGTTGAATATAGAAACTGAGTTTTAAAGAATGGAGCTCAAAATGATTTATAATACTGGAAAGCCTATTTTTAGGCATATAAAATAATAAAATCCAAAATCTGTCTTCCTGAAAATATTTTTACAATTTATAATAATTTTGACATCATGTTCTGTACTTACAGAGTAAAGGCAAAAATATACTTGCAGTCCATGTTTATTGTTTATCTAGCATGTAATTAATTAATTCAGCAAATGTTTATCGACTGCTTATCATGGGAAAGCGTTCTGGGCTAGACTCCAGTCATACAGTACTGAATGAAAAAAATATTTTCCCTAACCTCCAGGAATTTATAGTCTAGTGGGAGAGTAAAAAAATTAAACGGGTATACGTATGGATATGTAATTACCTAATGTAATTAGTGCCACGAAGGAAGAGTATGGTATGCTGTTGGAAAGAATAACAAAAGGATCTTAATTACAGGGTCTGTTAATAACTGTTGCTGTAAAGAAGTGACATGTAAGCTGAGGCTTGAAGGAATAGTTAGAAGTTTACCCAGTAGGAAGGAGCCCTGGTGGTGCAGTAGTTAAGCACTCGGCTGCTAACTGAAATGTTGGTGGTTTGAACCCACTAGCTGCTCCACAGGAGAAAGATGTGTCAGTCTTCTTCTGTAAAGATTTACAGCCTTGGAAGCCCTATGGGGCAGTTCTACCCTGTCCTGTAGGGTCACTATGAGTCAGAGTCGACTTGATGGCAATGGGTTTGGTTATCCAGTGGGAAACTGGGGATGGAAGTTGAAGAGATTATTCTAGGCGAGAGTCCACCATTTGCCAAGATTCTGCCTCTGAAGCAGGAAAGATCTTGGGGCATGCTAGGAACTGGGAGAAGGTCATTGTGGCAGAATGGAGCGAGCCAGAAAAGTGGCACTAATAGGACTAGAGAGCTAGGTGGGAGCCAGATAATGCAGGGCCTTGTAGACCAAACTCAGAAGTTTGTTCAATATAGGAGCAAAGGGGAGACCATGGATTGATTGTAAGCAGAGGAATGGTATTATCTAATTTGTACTCTAAAAGCTCATTTGGGCTTCTTCTTTTTTTAATTGTGATAAAATACACATTATAAAAAACTTACCATTTTAACCATTTTAAGGCATACATTCAATGGCATTAAATACATTTACGATGTTTTGCAAACGTCACCACTATCTAGTTCCAGAGCTTTTTCATCACACCAACCCGTGTTGAAACCCATACCCATTGAGCAGTCACTCCCCATTCCCCTCAGGCTTCTTTTGTGGAGCGTGGATTAGAGGGGAAGACTAGAGACTTTTGTAATTGTGCAGATAAGAGATATTGGTTGCTTGGATTAGGATGTTGGCAGAAAAAGTTAAAATTATATATATATATTTTTTTCTTTTGATTTAATTTTTTCTCAATTTGAGTCCTTGTCAATTTGTAAAGCTAATATAAACTGTTCTGTTTTCCTAGGTGTTCTTCAGATGATGCAGACAAGAATTGGGGCCTTACAGGGAGCTGTTGATAGGTACTATTGTTCATTTTGTAAATAAATGGGATGGAAAGATTTTTATCCATGGATATTTTGAAATTGATTTTATTCTTACCACCGCCCCCCCCCCCTTTTTTTCTTTTAGGATGAAAGCAAAAATTGTTGAGCCATACAACAAAATAGTAGCCCGTACTGCACAACTAGCAAGACTTCAGGTAGCTTCTCACTTTTAATTTCTTTGTACTTTATTATTCATTTTGTTTTGATAAGTAGGCAATTTTCAAGAGTCTGAGTTCTGAAGAAATGAGGGAATGGAAATATATGAAAGCAATGGGGAAAAATATTAAAAAGCCTTAAAATAAGATATTCAGTTAAAAAAGTACAAATCTAAACTACAATCCAAGTAAATTAATTTCACTCTACTTTTGACATTGTAAAATCATTTACTCTTTTAAAATTTTTATAGAATTCAAAATTATCAATTTTAATAGACAACAGGAAAGAGCCTAACACTTATTGGATTCTTACAGTCTATGATCAAATCTAAGGAACCCTAACCTATAACTTGCTGTTCTTATAGCAGTGTTCATGCATCTTTCAGCAAATTCAGTTTCTGACTAAAATGAAGTGATTTTCTAGCTTTGTGGAAGAAATACAAAAAACGTTTTTTCACTGTATGTTCCACATAGTTATCATGATTATTCAAAAACTATTTGCCTATAGCTAGATATATAGATTGTTTCAAACTTTTCACAATTGCAGATAATAACTGCTGTAAATAATTTTATGCAGTGTTTTCCCCTCTTTAGATTATTTTCCTAGAAAATCAGTAACTCTCAACTCTGTTTTAAGAAGTGAGTGCAGTAGCTGCAACATCATGAACCCATCCAGGAAAGTGAATAGGGATAAAATAATAGTAAAGGAACTCTTCTACTCTCTTGAAAGCTTAGGCAAGTATCTGTTTTGATGTATATTTACCTCTAAAAATCAACTTGGTTAATTATATATTTACTGCCATCAAATTAAATAATTGTAAATAATTAGAACCATTATATTGTAATTAGCTGAGAATCTCTAGACCTTCTAATAGGTCAATGGAACATCATATGTGAGAGAGACTGTGTTTGTTATGGCAGGGGATACAAAGATGGGTAAGATAGTCCTTGCTCTCAGAACATTACATTATGGTGAAAGGAAATAGGATAACCCATTGCCGCTGAGTGGATTCTGATTCATAACGATCCTATAGGACAGAGTAGAACTGCCTCATAGGGTTTCCAGAGAGCAGCTGGTGGATTTGAACTGCTTACCTTTTGGTTAGCAGCCGAGCTCTTAACCACTGTACCACCAGAGCTCTGGAAATAGGATAAGTGTACACAAATGACCAAATAAAATACTGAATATATAAATTCCAAAGTAAATAAAGTTCCAAGGAATATTCAGAAGAGAGAGAAATTATATGCAGGAGGAAATGTTTAAAAATTCTCACATTAATTTTTTGGCACATTTTCAATCTTCTGTAACTCAGAATGTTCTTGTCATTCAGTAGATTTCAACTGGTGTGTAAACTTTTAGTGAAATCTTCTCTTTGTTCCTTCTGGCAAAGCAGAGTATTTCTTTTTTTTTGGAGGGCTCTTTTAATATCCTATAGATACTTCCCTTATAAGGAGCCTGAGTGTTGCAGAGTAGAACTGCTCCATAAGGTTTTCAAGGTTGTGACCTTTCAGAAGTAGATTGCCTGGCCTGTCTTTTGAAGCACCTCTAGGTAGGTTCGAACTGCCAACCTTTTGGCTAGTAGTTGAGTGCTTAACCATTTGCACCACCCAGGGACTCAAGAAAATCCTATGGAGCAGTTCTGTTCTGTAACACACGGGGTCACCATGATTTGGAGCTGACTTGATGGCAGCTAACAACAACTTCCATTACAGCACTTTCTGCATAGCTTTTCCCTTATCATAGTCTGTAAGACTGAGCTCTTTGAGGGCTATATTGTATTGTTACTGTTGAATCTTCAGCCTTATCAGAGTGTTATGTGTCAGTCATTTAGACTTAGTAAATGTTTAAGAAATGAATAAAATTATTTGTTCCTTGATCTGTGACACAGTTGTAATTTTTTTTAAACATGTAGCATATGTAATAGAATAAATTGTACATGAGATTAAAATATGTTTTCTGTATGTGCTTATATAGATATTTTTTATAACAATTTGAGAAATATAGCATGTGGGAAAAGTTTAGATGTCTTGGCCTTTTTTAGTAGTGGAGAAGAGATACTTTCAGGTTATTTCCAGATAGACAGTTAAGAGCAAGTTTATGGGGTAGTAAGGATGCATAGGAACCTGTCTTAAAAATCAAACAGGTATCATGGAACAATAGAACATTGTTCAAACTAAAACTGCAACCTAACAATCGTTCTCTCCTATAACTCAGTTTCGGCATCTTTGCATCTCTCTGTCAGTGCTACTTTTTCTTGCTGTTACTATGGACTAACCCTCCATTCTTCTCACTTGCTCATTGTGTCCCCAAAGAGAATAGTGACTATTCAGTTGTCAGTACCAGTTTTGAGCGTTCTTTTTGCGAGGCTATCTCATGGCCACTGGTCACAGGCTTTGGATGACTTCCTCTGAGTCAGCATTATTATCTTGATCTAATTAGCTGTGCCTAGGGTTACAAGCTCACATGACCTGAACTGCCCGTGCTACTGACCTGAAAGAGGACCATGGGCACTGTAAGTGCTCAGAGTATTGTAAGGGTTCTCTTCAGTTTTTTTTTTATTCTTATGTTAAAATATGTAGTAAGAGAATTTACTCCCCGTGGTTAAATTGTAAATACTGCATTTTAGGATTCTTTTTGGGATTACTTCTCATTTGGTACTGTCAAATATGGCATTAAGTTTCACTGGAATTCTTTTGCTTGTTGAAAGAATGAATCAACATATAAGGATGGAATTGTTAACTAAGAAAGATCATTATGCTTACATATTTATAAACTTGCCCCTAATAAAATAAAATTGTATGAAATATCCTGCAATTTGGACAAAGGATGGTAGTTAACTTGGATTTAGTAAACTTTAAAATATTTTTATATTTGAAGACGTAGGAGTGTTTTTATTAACAGAACTAACCAGCACTATTAGTCTTTGTGTGGGTTTTCATTGATTTTGTAGAGCATTACACATTGTTGCGTTCATTAGAGCTTATTGTTTAAATTTAGGTAAAAATTGGTTACCTAAAAGATGGAAGAAATACACAGAGTCACTATACCAAAAAGAATTGGTCGACGTTTAACCATTTCAGGAGGTACCATATGATCAGGAATCAATGGTACTGAAGGAAGAGGTCCAAGCTGCACTGAAGGCATTGGTGAAAAACAAGGCTCCAAGAATTGATAGAATACCAACTGAGATGTTTCAACAAACAGATGCAGCTCTGCAAGTGCTCACTCGTCTACACCAAGAAATTTGGAAGACAGCTACTTGGCCAACCAACTGGAAGAGATTCATGTTTATGCCTATTCCCAAGAAAGCTGATCCAACCAAATACAGAAATTATCAAACAATATCATTAATATCACATGCAAGTAAAATTTTGGTAAAGACCATTCAAAAGTGACTGCAGTAGTATATCAACAGGGAACTGCCAGAAATTCAAGCCAAATTCAGAAGAGGACATGGAACCAGCGATGTCATTGCTGATGATGGATCCTGGCTGAAAGCAGAGAATACCAGAAAGATGTTTACTTGTGTTTTATACTATGCAAAGGCATTTGACTGTGTGGATCATAACAAATTATGGATAACATTGCAAAGAATGGGAATTCCAGAACACTTAATTGTGCTCATGAGGAATCTGTACATAGATTAAGAGTCAGTCGTTTGAACAGAATAAGGGGGTACTGCATGGTTTGAAGTCAGGAAAGGCGTGCGTCAGAGTTGTATCCTTTCACCATACCTATTCAATCTGTATGCTGAGCAAATAATCCAAGAAGCTGGACTATATGAAGAAGAATGGGGCATCAGGATTGGAGGAAGACTCATTAACAGCCTGCATTATGCAGATGACACAGTCTTGCTTGCTGAAAGTGAAGAGGACTTGAAGCACTTACTGATGAGGATCAAAGACTACAGCCTTCAGTATGGATTACACCTCAATGTAAAGAAAACAAAAATCCTCACAACTAGACCAATAAGCAACATCATGATAAACGGAGAAAAGATTGAAGTCAAGGATTTCATTTTACTTAGATCCACAGTCAACATCCATGGAAACAGGAGTCAAGAAATCAAAAGACGAATTGCATTGGACCAGTCTGCCGCAGAAGGCCTCTTTGAAGTGTTGAAAAGCAAAATGTCACCTTGAAAGACTAAGGTGTGCCTGACCCAAGCCATGGTGTTTTCCATTGCCTCATATGCATGAGAAAGCTGGATGATGAATCAGGAAGACCGAAGAAGAATTGACACCTTTGAATTGTGGTGTTGACGAAGAATATTGAATATACCATGGACTGCCAAAAGAACGAACAAATCTGGCTTGGAAGAAATACAGCCAGAATGCTCCTTAGAAGCAATGATGGCAAGACTACATCTCCCATCTTTGGACATGTTACCTGTAGGGATCAGTCCCTGGAGAAGGATATCGTGCTTGGTAAAGTAAAGGGTCAGTGAAAAAGAGGAAGACTCTGAACGAGATGGATTAACACAGTGGCTGCAACAATTGGCTCAAGCATAACAACGATTGTGAGGACGGCATAGGATCAGGTGGTGTTTCATTCTGTAGTACATAGGGTCGCTGTGAGTTGGAACCGACTTGACGGCACCTGACAACAACATGTTTAAGTTTACTTCTTTGCTTTGAATCAGATCTTAATCATGTCAGAACCATGCATTTTTTTTCCCGTTGTTTAGTACAATCTTTTGACCGTAAGTTTTTAGAACCTTATTTATTTTAGCCACCTAGGTAGGTATTAATTATAAAAAGATTTCATGCTTATGCAGAACTTACGAAACATTTTCAAGTATTTTGAAATCACCTAATTTTTGTAATAATGATATTTAGAAGTTAGTATATCTTCATTTTGTGAATAAGTAAAGTGAGGTTCTGAAAATTACTTGCTGAAGTTCATATAGGCAGTATGCAATAGAATTAAGATTGTGAAGCAGGATTTGTTTTTCTAAATTTAGGTTTCATTACTTTTGATTCTGTGGAATATGTAAAAT